GAAGTATCTTTCCACTCTAGATTTCCATTTTATGTGGCTAATTAAGATAGTTTTAGGAAGTCCGATGTTAATTACTCTTGCATCTTTGTTGTCTCTTTTTAGACTTGAATTTATCGCGTTAAGGTATACTCCTGGTAATTTATCATTGCAGATATAAAAGTAAGAGTTTTAATTACTCGGATTATTTTCAAGGTGTATGATTTTAATGTGCTCCTTTAACTCTCATGGGTTCCCTGTTCCAACCGATGGTTATTTTTATCGAAATTCACTTGGTTGACAGTATTGTTACTATTGTTTCCTTTCTTTGCATTATTAGAACCAGTTGGAGGTAAAGCACCAGCACTAACGGGTGATATAAAAATGATAATGATATTGGAAAAAAAATCTGACGGTAGCGTTGTGCTAACATGTCCTGCTCAAGGTTATCCTGTACCTTATTTTAGGTAAACGAATTTCTTTTTTATTTCTTTTCTACATACTTGGTATAATTTCGCGTGGATGTGTATAATAATCTTTTAGAATTTAATTTATAAAAGAAGGATTTTTCGTGCATTGGGTTCCCTGTTCCAATCGGTATTCTTATAATTTATTAAAATTTTCTATTTATTATTAGTATATTTTTTTCTTTTTAATTTATTTTTACGCTGTTAGAACCAGTTGGAAGTAAAGCACCAACGTTAACCGGCGGTGACGTAAAAGGCGTATGGATGGAAAAAGGGACGAATTCTAGCGTCGTACTGCAGTGTCCAGCACAGGCTTATCCTGTGCCATCATTTAGGTAATTTATATGTTGCGCTTATAGATCAAAGAACACACGCTCTCAATCGTATCGTCTCTTTTGCAAGGGGTACTCTCTTCCGGTTTTTCGGTCTATTTTGAGAGTATATCAGGTTGCTCGATCTATCTCGTTATTTTATTAGAACCTGTCGGAGGCAAAGCACCAGCATTGACGGGCAACGTAGTTGGTGTTATGATGAACAACCGAGCAGGCTCGGCAGTCGTGCTGTTTTGTCCAGCTCAGGGTTATCCCGTACCTATGTATAGGTAAATCATTAATATCCAAGAAATAATTGCTTTTAATTAAATATTATTTGTTACTCGAAAATATTCTTTTACAAACGATTAAAAATACATAATATTTTATTCTTACTACACACCATGGAGTTGCGTGTACACTCGACCAAGTTTTTGGGCGTTTTATAAAAAATTAAAATTAAATAACAAGTAATGTTAGCGCTGATTGCATGCCAATTTATATCCGTTAGAACCGGTGGGAACCAAAGCACCGACTTTCACGAGTGAATTAAGAGGCGGATGGTTAAAGAAGAGAGCTAACTCGAATACCGTGCTTGCGTGCCCTGCTCAGGGTCATCCTGTACCAATGTTTAGGTAAATGTTTTTTAAAAAAACAACATATATGCTTAAAAATTATCCACATCTCGCGCACGTGCTTCCGTATTAAAAAAAGTAACAGAAACAGTAAAAGAAAAAGAGAAAAAAAATACAAACGTCAAAGCGTATTTATCATCGTTAGAACCAATTGGAACGAAAGCTCCTGCGTTAACGGGTGACTTGAAAGGCGGATGGAAGGACAAAAGGGCGAATTCCAGCATCGTCTTGATGTGCCCGGCTCAGGGATATCCTGTGCCAAATTTTAGGTAAATGCCTCTTTTTTTGAATTTTTTTTTATTTTATTTATTTTTTTTTAATTTTTCTATTACTATTCTCTTTTGTCGATGACCGTACCCAAAAGTTTTTTTTTTTTTGAATTTCCACTATTAGACCCCGTCGGATTCAAAGCCCCGTCATTGATCGATGACTCAAAACGTGATTGGAAAGAACACAGTACGATGTCGAGTATCATACTGTTTTGTCCTGCTCAAGGTTATCCTGTCCCAAGTTTTAGGTAATACTTGGCTACATAACTCGCTAATGAATTTCTCGATATTAATCGTTTCATTATCGCGAATAATCTCTATATCGTTAGAACCCGTTGGAAGTAAAGCACCGTCGATACTGGGTGAGAAAGGAAGTTTAATGGAAAGAAGGACTTCGATGGATATCGTGATTCTTTGCCAAGGGCAGGCTTACCCTGTTCCAACTTTCAGGTAAAGTCTACGAAGTCAAAACAAAAAACATAATAATGGAAGAGAATTGATTTTTGAGTTTTGCACAAGACACATATTTAAGGCATATTGCGTTAGGAACCGTTATTTCTTTTCTAAAGATATTTTCTTCTATATTTACGACGAAAGTGATTCGGTCGTACCTTTTAGTATTATTATATAATCGTTGAAAAGCGTCTTTTTGGGTTGTAAGAACCTGTGGGAAGTAAAGCGCCTTCGATTACGGGCGATGCCAAACGATGGCTGCAGGCGAGGTCATTGGCTGGATTGGTGATGCAGTGCCAAGCACAGGGACACCCAGTGCCAGCATTCAGGTAGATAGAGTATCTTTTTATTGATCGTGTTCTTGTTTCCATATGGAATAATTACATATTACTTCGTTTCACTGTATCAATGAATGAATGCATACTGTTTTCTATTCTTTTCTGTCTTACTTTCTTTTGTTCAACGAGGTATTTCGTAATTTTCGATGTTCTTATAACGGATGCCTGTCAAATCTCATTCTCGGATTAAATCGTTCGTATTGTTGTTATTTTTACGCCGTCAGAGCCAGTGGGAGCGAAGGCGCCAAAATTCTCAAGCGATGACCGCGTGAATTCATTCATACGTGCCAAAGGAAGTACGTCGACTTTGTTTTGCCCGGCTCAAGGTTTCCCAGTTCCATCGTTCAGGTATAGATCAATAGGAATAGCCGTTTCCATGATTTTTGCTGGTATTCTTTCGCAGAACCGGTAGGCTCGAAGGCTCCTGCGTTTCAAAGCGAGGCTAAGAGCGTTACTTACGTTAAACATGCGAAATCTTCCGTAGCTTTAACGTGTTCAGCTCAAGCTTCTCCACCTCCTACTTACAGGTAACGTAATAATCGAATTATATAGTATAAAAGACAGTTAAATCAGAATGTATAATGGTAAAACGTTGAAGAATTTACTGAGTAAAAGGATGATGAAAAATCGATAATCCTATATCATTAATGAAGTGCAAACCTTATGAAATTAATTAGGAAATTATCGAATATTAGGCGAAAATGATAAAACTGGTGGTGCGTTTCCCTGTAGGGGTATTTAAGCTCGTTACGGTTGTCTTTATCGTCATCACGATAATATAATAAATGTTTCGTTTAAACCCGGAGAACCGGCTGGTCGCATGTCACCGAAGTTTCCAAAATCAGCAAAATCCGATTCTTTCGAAGTAACGATGGGCATCGAGTTGAGTTTGCTCTGTGACGTACAGGCCTTCCCTGCTCCCGCATTTAGGTCAGTTCATTCAATTTATATACCTTCCGCAGACGACATTGTGTGTACGCTGCAGCTCGTTTTAATTATGGGCAGCTTTAAATTGAGTTTAAAGCATGAAAATTTACTACGTGGCTTATTTCCCTTCATTTTCGTTTTAATTCGACTTACACAAACTTCGTTTAGCTTAAAAAGAACGTTAAAATAAAACGATTTTATTAATTCATTACATTTGTATTTAATTTAGACATTTAAATTTTCACATCGATTTATATTATTAATTTTTCATTTCTTTTAACACGGTGATAATTTCATAGAGCCAGTTAACGGTGCCAAGCCTAGAGTCGCATCAACGTCGAAATACGATGTACTTGCTAGTTACATCGGAGCACCCGTTACAATGTTGTGTCCTGCCCAAGGACACCCTCTACCAGCTTTCAGGTACTTACGTAAATAACATACGTGAATTCTACTTCCCTTTCTTATATACGTTTCATCGTATGTAAGGAACTTTAATATCATATTAATGAATACTGTTGAACGTTATACCTTTGGGAGTTTTATCATAACGATGATCTAATAATTCTTTGATTATATTCGTCTATTAGATGATAAATCGATTAATCGAGCAATTTAATTGAAACACCGCGTTAATTTATTTAGAACCGGTGAATCGTGCTGCACCGAAAGTACCACCAACGGCTAAAATAACGGTCCTTACGCTTCCGGTAGAAAAAGCTTTGGCGATGTTATGTCAGGCGCAAGCAAATCCACTTCCAGTCTTCAGGTACGCTCTAATGCAAGTAGGTTGACTAAATATAGGATGTCGTGAAGTCGAAATTTTGGCTTGGAGTTTGGGCTTTAAGAAAAAGCATGAAAGGACAGAGATAGAGAGATAGAGAGATAGATAGAGAGAGAGAGAGAGATTGCGTAGAAATGTTTCACTAAAATCTATTTCGAAGAAATGTATTACTTGGTTTGTATTTTTGGATATCCGATAGAAGAGAGAGAGAAAGAGAGGGGGATAGGTAGAGAATAAATATCTTCTTTAGTTTTTTGTTCCGAACAAAATTGAAAAAAATAGCTGTGAATGATAGATACGAAGGTGGAATTTTTGTACATTTTGATTTATAGAACCAATCGGAAGTAGTCCTCCTCGATTGCCACCTAGATCAAAATTTGATGAAATGATGAAAGCTCAGGGACAGGCTGTGACGTTGCTCTGCGAGGCTCAGGGTAGTCCGTTACCTTTATTCAGGTGAGCAACGATAGAGAATAGGATAATCATTAGAATACCTTGTCTTTGGAATCGTGTGCCGTGCATCAACGACTCTTTAATGGAATAACAGTTGAATCATTTTTGGAAAGAAATATTCGTTAAAAAATTACAGAACCGCGTGGTAGCGTTCGACCAAACGTCAAGGATAAGGATGTCAATTTCATGAAAAGAATCATCTCTATGAACGATATGATCGGTCTCGTGTGTCCAGTACAAGGCTTCCCATCACCCGCATTCAGGTACAAAGAATGTAGACGAACGAATAATTCGACAAGGAAAGCTAGAGCTTCAGATCATAATTCAATCGATTAGAGACCGAATTGAACTCGATTCATTGTATCTTTGAATCGACCTTGCTTGCAGAACCGCGTGGTAGTGTTCGACCAAATGTCAAGGATAAGGATGTCAATTCCATGAAAAAAGTCATTTCTATAAACGAAATGATTGGTCTCATATGTCCAGTTCAAGGCTTCCCAGCACCCGCATTCAGGTACAAAATAAAAACTTAGAAAAAAGGGATAAATCCAACGAAGAAACTTCGAGCGTCGATCGTAATTGAATTGATTAGAGATTGAATAAAAATTCGATGAAGTCGTATCTTTGAATCGACCTTGCTTGCAGAACCGCGTGGTAGCGTTCGACCAAATGTCAAGGATAAGGATGTCAAAACCATGAAAAAAATCATTTCTATAAATGAAATGATTGGTCTCATATGTCCAGTTCAAGGCTTCCCAGCACCCGCATTCAGGTACAAAATAAAAATCTAGAAAAAAGGGATAAATCAAAAGAGGAAAATTTGAGCATCGATCGTAATTGAATTGATTAGAGATTGAATAAAAATTCGATGAGAAGTCGTGTCTTTGAATCGACCTTGCTTGCAGAACCAACCGGCAATGTCTCACCACGCATTGCTGGTGAACGTTATGAGGGCGGCAAGCTGGTCGATGTTCCAAAGATGACGACAGCGGCGCTGGATTGCGCGACTCAGGGATTTCCTGTCCCAGTGACAAGGTAGTATCAACCGCTACCGAGTTAAAGATAGAGATACGTTTCTCCTTTGAGCATTCTACGTGACTATTTCAGAGGGTACAACCAAGATAGCACCGCGTTCCTCGGGCAGGAAATACGAGGGATGGGAAGTGATATCTTGTTCTCAGGGTCAGAACGTTGCTTTCAGTCATTCACTTCAGGGATATCCTGTACCTTCGACAAGGTAGACCTATCTCTCTCTCTCCCTCTGTTTTTCTCTTTTTTTCTCTAAATTGTTCCTAATATTCCTTATATAGTCCTCTTTCCAACTCTTTTCTCTGACTCTAGTTGTTGTCGTTCTTCCATCGTGAGTCAATAAAAATAAGAAAAAGAATAAAAATAAAAAGGAAAACAAACATTAACGTATTTAGAGTCGTTTAGACACTGTCCTTCTTCAAATCGAAAGGTGAGTAATCGCATGCAAAGACATTGAATTATAAATCAAAACTCCCAAACAAAATGGACAGATAGTCTGATGAACTGATGGGTATGTACAGATCTTTTCTTCTTTTTATCATAAGAAAAAAAGACAGGAATAAAGAAATAAATAATAAATTAAAAAGTCAACGTCCGGTCGATCGAGAGGCTACCTCGATGGATCGCGAGAGAGGACGAGCTAGCTCTCTTTTCTATGCTCATTGCATTATCCTTTCAGAACCATCCGGTCGCACTGCCCCAAAGGGGACTGGAGACGGTCTTAATAAGTACCGCGGGGTAGAGGGCGAGTCTCTGGCTCTGGCGTGTGCGGCACAAGGCTTTCCTGCCCCGATAACTAGGTACACACCTCCGATAGTTTTCTTCCCTCTCTTTCTTTACTCAGACTTTCTCTCTCTCTCTCTCTCTCTTTCTCATTTTCTCTACATTTTATTTTTTTTCTTTCTTTTTACCTTCCCTTCATTAGCCTTTTATTCTCCTTTCCTTTAAGGAATCCCTTTTTCTCTTTCAAAATTTTTCCTTACCCTCTACCCCGTGTCGGGTGGCGGTACCGCAAGAGGATCGATTAAAAAAGAAAAAGAAAAAAAAACACAAAAAAGACATAGGAAGAGTGCGATTAATAGATAAAAAAAAAGAAAATAGTTTCTTAAAAATTAGAAACAAACGTAAAGTATTTAACAAGGATCTACATATCGACAAGTTCGCGAAAAAGGGAGAAAAGAAGGTTGGGTTTTAGATAGTATTGTTTGAGTAAATGTTAGAGGAACAAAATCTTACTAGTCTAGTTTTTTTTTTACTTCTTTACTGTGAATCATATTCTCTGTTATATACCAGGACGGTTTTTTTGTATTTTTATTATAAATATCCATTAGATTTTAAACTTGACTATTTTTATGTGATCGATAATAAATTAATAGAGATAAAGAAACGTAAAGTTTCAATAATTATACAAATTCGAAAAAGTTACGAAAAGAGAATAATAAAAGATATGGTAACATATGATAAGGAAAAAAGAAAAGAAGTAAAATAAATAAAAAAACAGAAGAAAGATAAAAAGAGAAAGGGTGGATGAATGGAAGGAAAGAAGGAAGGAAGGAAAGACGTAAGATAATGAATTGACAAAATATATGTTCGTCATTCGGGGTGAGCCAATCGGACGTGTTGGTTTTCAGTGCCAACTGGATCCTCGCGGCGCAACTCCGAGATAGGTGACAGAAGCTATAGCGCGACTTCGAAAAGGATGCGGACCCTCTTCTCCTTTGGTAACCTCGGTGCTGATACGGGTGGACCGAGTGGGTGTCACCCGATCATTTGGGGCGATCAATGTTGCCTTGCACCTCTACACACCTCCAATAAGTCCCACGATATCTGGCTGGTAAGTCCTCGCCACCTTCGTGCCTCCGTTCATCCGTTCTTATTGCTCATTCCCTCTGGCGTCACGCAAAACCTCTCTTCGTTTCTCTCTCTCTCTCTTTCTTTCTTTCTCTCTTTCTCTTTCTCTCGCTCTCTCTCTCTCTCTCTCACTTATCTTCATTCTCTCATTCTTATTTTGTCGAGCAACGAAGAAACCAGATATAGTATGAAAAAAAAGAAAAGAAAAAAAAATACTTTTCGTAGTCATTATTTTATAAAAATGTTTCCGTCGCGATTTTGATCAAGTCTTTGAGTTGTTAACCGATGAATGGAAATACTATTGTCGACATTCTTCTTTGATAAAATAATAAATTTCAGATATCCAACCTTACTTCGTGTGTTATTTCTCTGTCATCTTTCTTTCGATACCACGGAACAATTTCGTGTACTTTTTAATCATTATTATTATCCCTTGCACGAAAGGATCCCCTTTGATACCATTCTGTTTAAGTATTATGAGAATAATTCTTTTTTTTATGATTTGAGAAAGAGCAGTTGATGACTTACATCGGAAGAATAATTTTACGATTCTTTCCTACTATTGTATAAATTTTACAACAATTAACATTGAAAAATCTTATGTCGTTAAAAGCGAACGGTTGTTATGTTACACAATTAGTACAGTTTATACAGAGTGTTCGATTGGTTTCTTCCATCAGCTGACTAGATATGTTTTCATCGTTCCTGTTTTTCTATCATTTCGTTATTTTACTTTTTTTTTATCCTTGTGGTACTCAAGCCGCAAGTCAGAATATCGATAATTGATAAACGTTGATAGTCACGTTGCATATCGATTAAAATTTGAAAAAAAAAAAATAGAAAAAGAGAAAAAAGAAGGCAAGAGATAATATGCAGCCATCGTTTTGCACTTGCTTTCACGCTTATATCGTTTCTCTCTCTCTCTCTCTCTCTCTCTCTCTCTCTCTCTCTTTCTTTCTTTCACTTTCCTCTATTGGACAGTACATACACAGCGTATACTTAACATATACACGTATATACACGTTTACATAGTTAATATACGTAGATACGTATATACAGTGTTGGTTCGGTGCACACACCCACTCGTTTTCCCTTTACCTTCGTTGTACGTGTTTATTTCCATGCACATAGACCTTTTTTCTATTGTGTCGTATTTGTCACCACTGTTGTTCCCTTTTCTCCTTCCAACTTCCAACAGCCTATTTTGCTTCGTGATTGTTACATTTCACTAGCTTCTCAAAACGTTTCTCTATGACTTATATGAAAGTAGATAGAGTTTCGCGTATCGTGATACACGCGCCACTGATTCGATGTTAAAAAAAAGAAAAAAAAAAACTAAGAAAAAAAGAAAATGAAAAAAAAGAGAAAGATAAATTGGAAGCCCGTGCCCAGAGACGCCCGAAGCCCTTTTATATTATAAGAAAAATAAAATATTAGAGAATGGAGTAAATGGATAGGCTCTTTTCCAAGTTTTAAATTAATTTTATTGTAATATTTGGGTCATATATTTTAATTGAGCTGACTATTAGATCAGCGTTATAGTAATAATATTTTATACTTATGTTATTACTCAAATCCTATGATCTAAGTTTGAAATTTATTTTGTAAATACTATTTGCTCCAACTCATTTTAATTCTCATAAGAGTAAAAACCCACAGTATTAATTTCGTAAACTTGGGTTGATAGTTTTAAAAAATTTGAACTTAGTTGGCTTGAGTGCTGATACGTGAATCGATCGTTTGTTATCCTTTGCTTACAGATGGTACAAGTTTATTGAAGGCTCATCCCGTCGTCAACCTGTTCAGCTAAATGATCGTGTTCGTCAGGTTAGCGGTACTCTGATCATTCGTGAGGCTCGTGTTGAAGATTCTGGCAAATATCTTTGCATCGTTAACAATTCCGTTGGTGGTGAAAGCGTGGAAACTGTTTTGACCGTTACTGCACCGCTTGCCGCTGAAATCGAACCCAGCACCCAGACAATTGATTTTGGAAGACCAGCTACCTTCACTTGCAACGTTAGAGGCAATCCGATTAAGACGATCTCATGGTTGAAAGATGGAAAGCCACTTGGACTTGAAGAACCAGTACTCAGGATTGAAAGTGTTAAGAAGGAAGATAAGGGAATGTATCAATGTTTCGTTAGAAATGACCAAGAAAGTGCTCAAGCAACCGCTGAATTGAAACTTGGAGGAAGATGTAAGTTTGCATTATAAAATACAACAATCCTCTAAAGAAATAAATATTGCATTTATATAAACATTATTTGCCTTTGATAGTCGAACCACCACAGATCCGCCAAGCTTTTACCGAGGAGACTCTTCAACCCGGACCCAGCATGTTCCTAAAGTGTGTTGCCAGCGGAAATCCTACACCTGAAATCACCTGGGAACTTGATGGAAAACGGTTATCCAACACGGAAAGAGGACAAGTAGGACAATACGTTACGGTCAATGGTGATGTCGTCTCTCATTTGAACATCTCTAGCATTCATACCAACGATGGAGGTCTTTACAAGTGTATTGCTGCATCAAAGGTATATAAATACTATCTTTTAATCTTTATCTTTAGATAGATCTCTCGACAATCTTATTCATTAGCCACAATCTTATACTTTATATAATGAATAATATAAAAAATGATTATATCTCCGAGACTACTTGAAATATTGAGAAATCTTTTTAGATCTTTACATGTAATATCAAAATCTAAATGTGTGTATGTGTTCATATTATTGGTGTGTGAAACGTATTTATGATATGAAATTTATACTAAAAATATCTAAAATCATAAAAAAGTGTTATAACCATTGACGTGAATTATAAAATATCAGTTGTTCTTACTGAGAAAAAGTTTCGATTGAAGAAGTGCTTATTTTTTACCATGCTTATTTATAGGTTGGCTCTGCTGAACATTCCGCTCGTCTCAATGTTTATGGCTTACCATTTATTCGTCACATGGACAAGAAAGCTATCGTCGCTGGTGAAACTCTACGTGTTACTTGCCCTGTTGCTGGTTATCCCATCGAAAGCATCGTCTGGGAACGTGATACCAGAGTACTTCCCATTAACAGAAAGCAAAAGGTCTTCCCCAATGGCACCCTCATCATTGAAAACGTCGAACGAATGAGCGATCAGGCTACTTACACGTGTGTTGCCAGAAATGCACAAGGATACAGCGCTCGAGGAACATTGGAAGTTCAAGTTATGGGTAAGTTTCAAATATTCATTTATTTTCTTTCATCGTGGATCGTGTGATATAAATTCATTTTCCAAATTTATTCAATCACAATATAGATTACTTGGAAATATTTGTTAAAATTAAAATATTGTGCTATTGAAGCCATTTTTGTAATATTGACAATTATTTGTTCAAATTTATAATACAGTCTCTCTCGTTAACCTTTTAAGTGGAGAACAGTAAATATAGTATATAAAATAATAGTTTGCGCTTTACGCAATTATTAACTTTATTCCAAATATAGAGAGTGTCTTGTAACTGGTGGCACAAATGAGCAGAGGGTGATTCTACATTTTCACTTTGTTTTCGAGGAAAATAAGTTTAATTAACACTCGACAAATTTTTAAATTTGTTTTTTTTTTTCGAGAACAAACCTGTACATGAAAAACTTTTATTCTTCATTTTCGATTTGTTAGTTTTTATGTAGAATCACCCTCTGCTTGTTTAAACTACCAATTATAGAATACCCTATATATTCTTCAATTAAAAAAAATCTATTAATATATCGAATTAATATTTAATAGTAACTCGAGTTAGCTCGTTACCTTCAGTTAAAAGGTTAAAGAATTTGAAATGATAATAATTAATTGTACTTTTTAAAATTGTCGATTTTCGCGTATAACTCGATTGAAACGTTTAGTTTAAAATCTTAGATGTAATAACATTATATTGCAGGACTCAAAAGGATATAATTTATGTTATGTGTATCGATCGTGTTGAAAGAACAAAAAAGAAGAATTTTTCTTTCAGCTAGCATTCGTACGATAGACGCCAGTTTAAGTCGAGAAAACATGCTGGCAGATTCGATTACGTTGTCGTCGTTTTGTCACCCTACGTCGCCGATCATTTAATTTAAAAATATATTTTGTCGATCGTATCGTAAATCTCTCGCGTGCATAAAAGATTGTACGTGATTATGTTATGCATATACATACATCAATGAGGACGCGGATAGCAAAGCTCCGTTACAGATATTGCAGACTCTATAATTAAAAGGCGAGACAAAAGCGTGCCGTACCCAAGGAGTCTTTCGTTGGAAGTTGGTATGGCGGTGGCCGACAAGCGATCGTAAGAAATTAAATAGATATACATCTTCTTGATTAAAATTTCTCTCTTTTTCTCTCTTCGCGACTTAACCGAACATAAAGTAAAACAAAAAGCAAAAAGTATCGTGCGTTATGTATTTTTTGTTCAGGATTTTTACATTTTGGACCGATAATATAATTGCAATGAGTAGTCGCGCATTGTTAAATGTATCAATTTAAGAAGTAGAAAAAAAGAAACAGAAGAAAAAATAAAATAGTTAAAATTACGTTATATTAAAAACGCGCTTAGTTAGACGCGTACGCGACCTGATCATACATACATCCATACATCGATCCTCAAACCTCAGTGCCACCCACGATACAAGAGTTCGCGTTCACGAAGCTACCAATGAACGCCGGAGAGTTCGCGAATCTGCAATGTATCGTGCCGACTGGCGATCTGCCTCTGAACATACGTTGGAGCTACCCCGGAGAAGAGATGGGCGGTTCTTCCGGCGTGCTCGCAAAGAAGGTCGCGGATCGCGTTAGCATGCTTATGATCTCCGTCATCACCGCGAAGCACGCGGGAGAGTACGTTTGCACCGCTGAAAACGCGGCTGGGACGGCCTCCTACTCGACCGCTCTCACCGTCAATGGTTCGGGACTATGATTTATCAGCCTAGAAAGTTCCTTTTTTTGATTACATATCTTTTTTTATATTTTTCTTCTTCTTCGTCTTCTTATTGAACTTTATTTTTTAATTTTTTAATTTTCATTTTAATTTTAATTCTATTTTATTTTTTTTTTATGCACAGTTACTTCCGCAGAGTGCACAGTAGGTAACCTTATCCTTTCTCTTGTTCTTTATTCCCTATGCTCCATCGATCGTTTTCCATTTAATATCTGGACACTTTACCAGCTACCTTTTTAAACCGTCTTCGTGAATTGAATTAAAATTATAGTATTTATATATATATATATATATGTTACGGAATGTCAAAATGCGAACGATATAATTAAATCTGACTGATGTTGGACTTTTGTAAAGTCAGCCCGCAGCTTCTACCAATCGCATTCAATACTGAAGTTGCCAACTGGGGAGATTTTGTGTCGGTGCCCTGTTCGATACTGAAGGGCGATATGCCCATGGATATATCTTGGTCATTCAATGGTGTACCAATTGACACGTCAAAAGATACTGCTATCACAATATCAAAAATCAGCAATCATCTTAGTACACTGAGTATTGATAGCGTTTCGGCGAGACACGCCGGAGAATATGCCTGTTCCGCGTCAAATCTCGCCGGTGCCGTCAGTCGATCTGCGACCTTAACTGTAAACGGTACGACTCTCCATCTTTTTTAACATGCTCTCTTTTCTTTCTGTTCTCTTCTTCTTATAACACCAAAAATAAATATCTATTCCCGTCCCAGGTTCCACAGCGTTGCGGCCATCATTCTTTTTCTTTATACCGCCATACCAAGTTCCTTTTTAACACTAGTAATCACGCGTTCACCGGTTTATATAGTCTACCGTGAACATTTCTGGCGTGGCCAGATTCTTTCTATAGCTCTTTCCAGTTGCACCGCAAATCATACCCTTCGATTTTGGTGACGAACCCGCAAATTGGGGCGAGCTCGTATCGGTGACATGCTCGATAACGAAAGGCGATCAACCTCTCGACATATCCTGGGCCTTTAACGGGACACCTATTGACACCAGCCACGGATCCGACGTAGTGATAGGAAGCACAAACAGGAAAAATAGCGTTTTAACTATTGAATCGGTCGCGGCTAGACACGCGGGAGAATACACCTGTTCCGCTTCGAATCGCGCTGGTGCTACATCTCACACGGCTCTTCTCACAGTAAATGGTATTTACGCGCGTGAACTCTCGTAAGAATGATCTCCGTACCTAATCATTTACATTCATCAATCATGTTTTCCCTGCAATTTCTATACTTCACTACCTATCCAATATTTCCGGTCGGATCAGATCATTTCACAGGATGTTTTTTCTTTTTGTTCAACAATTATTTTTATTTAATGTTTCGATAAGCTTACTTGATGAATTTCTTTCTTAGTTTTCATGATTTCCGTCTTTGATTTCTTTTTTTCCATGCATCTCTCTATCATACCGAAAGTAGGTCTAATAAACGAGACATCGGAGACATACGTAATCCGTGAATCAGACGCGAGAACCATCGCGTTCGGATTTGTGAAAAGTCAGCTGCTAACACGTACACGTTATCTACTTTCGATCATCATCATCATCACCATCATCAACATCATCATCCATTCCGAAATCTCTTTCTCATCGTACTCTTTCGTCCGTGCTGCCGTGTCGTTCGCGCAGTCGCACCGCAGATTCTTCAGTTCAGTTTTGGCGACACCTCTCTCAACTCCGGCGAGATGCTGTCTGTTGCTTGCACAATCGTCAAGGGTGACTTCCCGGTGACATTAAGATGGACATTCAACGACGTTCCCATAAACTCATCCCAACACGATATTCATATCGTATCTAGTAAGAGGGTCAGCTTTTTGAACATCGACAATGTGGCTGCGAGACACGCTGGGGCGTACAAGTGCATAGCGACCAATACAGCAGGCTCCGACAGTCACACGGCTATTCTCTCGGTGAACGGTACACCGCGCTTCCGTCAAAGATTTTGCTACCTTGCAAACACTTTTAGTATTTATCCTCTTGTAAACTTTTTTGTAATCCGCAGTAAATCTACATAGAGTACTAATTCTTTGTTGGAGGTCAGAGTACATATTATGCATAAACGTATATATCTAAAACTGTGTACTGCTGTTGTCTTTACATTCACGTTCAAATTTATAACTAATTAATTTTAATTTGACAAAACGATTCTAATAGAATATATGAGACAATGGCAGGAAGAATGTAACACGATCCATCGCATGAGACGATGGCACGCGTTACTCGTTTTATTTTCTTCGTATCGCTTTATCATATATATGTATATATATATATACTTATATATATACTTACATATATATGTATATATATAATTTTTTTAATGTCTTGAATATTTAAACAAGCCTGGAATCTGCTGTCGTGTTTCCACGTTTTCCAACATCCCACAACTCCCTTCTTGCGGAAGCTTCTTTCGAGGTATCCATGGCTACGTGCTAATGACGTAAATAGTACTTGAATATCGTGCTGCGTAGAGTGCACAGCTTTGAATATTCATAGACGTACGTCCAACGACTACCAGCATTATCCCAAATGTCACTTTGTCCGTAAAATTCTCCGTTTTCGTAATTTGTAAGACCGTCCCCTTTTCTCTTCGATAGCTCCTACGCGTGTTTTCAGGATCTGGTCTGTTTTTTTCTGGAGTTTTTATCAATTTACAGTGGTACCACAGATCGGACCCTTCTCGTTTGGCGACGAAGCCGCTAATGCGGGAGAAATGGCGACCGTTCAGTGTGCCGTAATAAAAGGTGATTTGCCTGTTGAAATTGTTTGGTCGTTGAACGGTCAGCCGATCGACGTTTCGGGCGCGCAGACGAATCAGAATTACGATCGTCAGGATATTATTGTGAACAGGAGCAACAAACGGGCCAGTACTTTGACGATCGATTCGGTAGCGGCAAGACACGCGGGTGAATATTCGTGTACGGCGAGCAACGCAGCCGGATCCGCCACGCACTCCTCGGTACTTACTGTTAACGGTACGATTTGCCTTTTCCCTGTAAACTTCGAAATCGATTAACTGGGTGGTTGGTCGGTCGACTCGATAGTTTTTATAACTTATCTAACACTAGAGTGATGTGTGGTAACCGACACTGAGGAACGAGGACTTGTGTGGTGTAAAACGAACAATGATCCCTTATCCTATACTAAAGACATTCTTTAGTTTATAACCAATTCTTACACATTCCTTTCGATGGGTTGCTTTTGGTCAGATAGTCGATATC